GCACCTGTTACTACTAGTAAGGCACTTGTTCCTAGTAGCGAACATTGCTACTACTAGTAAGGCACCTGTTACTACTAGTAAGGCACTTGTTCCTCATTGCATCGTCCACATTTCCGTCCCTCGGCACGGCTAAGGACGTGCTGGAGCAGGTGATGCAGAAGGTCTCTCGGGTTCTCAACGAGCGTGTAGCTCAAGATGAAGCGGACGCGCCTGCACTTGGCCGAATCATGACCGAGCCTGTCTACAACCCTGATGATGAGGACTTGCCGCTGCGGCCCACAGACAATATCCTCCTCCGTCGTGATTCCAGGCACAGTTGTGGAACTTCAATTGGTTTTTAAAGGGTGGTTGTCAGAGGGCTTTGGCAACTTGGATCCCTGGCTTTTTCCCGAACTGCGTAGCGAAGGGTTCCCGATTTATAGTCTGGGGGTCTGGGGGTTGGACCTGTGTGCGCCTCGTGTGGTTTGTGGTTTCGTACGCCCGGTCTCGTCGCGATCGGCGCTCCGAACGTTTGAAAATCCCTGCCGTTGGGGAATCTTCTGGGGAAGAGCTCTTCGATGGAGAAGTGTCCGATTCGTGTGAAGTAGCGTGCAAACATGATGCCTGAAGTGTGGAGCGTGAAGTCCTGCGCAGGTGCAGCGTTTCGTGAGTTAGCACATTTGGTCACTGTGCCATTGGATTTCAGGCTCTTGCCTCGAAGCGGTGTTTTCGTCTCAGCCTGTCTCAGCTAAAATTGCGATTTTGGTGGAGGTGAGTGCGGCGAACTTGTGATGTGGTACGAGTTTTGCTGAAGACGTGAAGATGTCATGTCGTCACTTTTCGTGGAGGGCGCAGCACTGTGTGCGCATTGGAGATGTGGAAGTTGAAAAGTCACGCGTAAAAGCCGCCAAAACGAGCGTTTCGTTTTGAAGCGGGAAGTCCCATCAGAGCGAACACATAGGGCGCAGCTCCGCCAAGCAGCTGTGCAGTCCCAGCCCTCGAAAATCACAGCCACTGACACACCAATCCCAACTGGCACCTCCACCTGCCACGTCACAACAGCACGATTCCCTGCGCCTACCACGAAGATTCCGTATTAAGCTCTGCTTTCTCTCTGTGGCATGCGGCTTGGCGTGGCCTTGGTGGAAAGTGCGTTGTTGCTTTGTGCTGTTGAGGCAAGGGAAGTGTGCATGTGTAAACGCATGTTTCCCGTTCCCCAATGACACGGAGCCACGCAAACGCACCCTCCGCCGCAGCAGTGCCAAACCGCATTTTGTGCCAAGGCGGATTTGCGCGGCCTTGGTGGAAAGTGCGATTGCCTGTGTTTGCATGTGCCATCGGGGAGCGGGAAGCATCCTGGTGAGCGGGGTGACTTGTGGTCCACAAGAGTCTCCCACAAGAGCGCCCCACAAAACTGTCCCACAAGAGTGTCCGACAAGAGTGTCTCCTAAGAGTGACCCGAAGCATGTCCAAGGAGAGTTTCGTCTCCCACGAGCGTCCCACAAGCCTGATACAAGATTGTCTTACACGAGCGTCCCAAAAGGGTGTCCAACAAGAGTTTCCACAACATTGCCCTGTAAAATGTTATAGCATGTTATAGCAGAGTGTCACCCCAGATGGTCAAACTTGGAGGAGTGCCACGCAAGAGTGTCAAACATGGTTTGGGGTACTTGTGTTTCTTTCAGGTTCGTGAGTTCTATCAGTGTGTTTTTCTTCAATGGGGGGGCGTGAGGTGCATCATCATGGATGCCTTCGAGCTTGGTCGGGAGTTCCCTGAGGTGGAAATCGATCCGCGGCTCGTCTTCGACAACCCCACCATCGAATCCCTGAGTCAAGCCATCGTTGATCTTCCCAAGACCCAACGCACCAAGAGCGTGGAGAGCGCTAGTACTGCACAGCCAGGCAGGAACCCAAAAAACGGGCTTCCAAAGATCATAAGTTAAGTAACCCTAGAAGTTTGTCGCTGCGCCACAAGGCAAAACGACCTTTGTGATGTTGGTGGGCTAACCTGCCAGCAGTGTGCGCTTTATATTTATAAGTCAAAGCAGCTCCAATTGGAAGCTGAACACGCAGGTGTGACCTTGACTTCGGTGGCTTTCACTCAGATCACTGGGACGGGTGAGATGGCCCCTTGCAGCTACAGACCCCGGGGTGGAGAGGCCTCCCGGTATTATCGCAGCACTGATGGGATGGAGAGTATCCTCCTCCCTGCTAGCATGGCGCGGATTGGAGATGATACCAACTGCCCGACAGCGCGGGAGAACGAAGGACCCTCTCATGTCGTGGAACTCAGTAGTTTCTTGATGGATATCGAGCCTGTAAGTTTGGGCGCCTACGCGCGGTTCCTGAATTTGACACAGCCAAGTCAAGATGAGCTCTTTGACTTCTGCCTTTTACCTGCTGAAGATGCAAGATGTTGCCATATACCACTGACGTTGGGCGAGGAGGGGTGGCAGGCCGGATGTTGTTTTAAGGATCCTTTACTGTAGATAATTTCCGTCCTTTGACACTCTCTGGCAATTCAAGCCATGTGGAGTTTTGATTATATATATATAATTGTTACCGTGCAGGTGAAACCCGGCGTGCCACCTAACTGGCCAATGATTCTGGTGTCCTGGTATGGCGCCAATGCATACGCTCTCTGGGCAGCCCTGGCCGCGTTTGGAACAAGCCCTCACGCAAAGGAACAAAAAGGTCGATGTTGCAGCTTTTGTATATTTTTTGATAGTGAGACTTACAGTAAGACTTGCGTCCTTTTTGGAAAAGACGCAAGGCCCATGGAGAAGACTGGCGCAGCTACAAGACCGCCAGCAAGAGCTTCCTCCCGACAGAGGCTCAGTGGGAGTATGCTGCGCGGGGCCCTGAGACCATGCAGTTCCCTTGGGGAAATGATGATGCCACGCCTGATTTGCTCAATGTCTGCTGGGACGCTAGCACGTATGATAGCAAGGGCAACGTCACGGCTCATGTGGCAACTCCATTGGAAGAGCTTCCTTTGGTGGGCGTCAATGTCTTGATGGGGGTCTCCCCCTTTGGTCTTCGAGGCGCGGTATTTTCCAGCGCCTGCCCGCCTCGATCCTAGTAGCGATGCCCTTGTTACTAGCAGCTTCTTGTTACTAGTGGTGGTAATGGCCTCCAACCTAGTAGCGATGGCCTCCACCTAGGACCTAGTAGCTTCGTGTTACTAGTGGGGCATATTTTTGAATAAAACAGCTTATGCAAGTACAAATCCTTCTGGCCGGGGCTTTGCATGTGATGAGACCAGCTAAGGGATGGCGGGCAATGTGTGGCAGTGGTGCCGCGACACCTACCACACAAACTTCTACATGTGCACAGAGGCGCTACCCTAGGGCCCTAGGGAGAGCCGGACGAGTATGGGTGAGCCAGAAGTGCGCCAATGGCTGTGTGATGCTGGTCTCTTGTTTCTAATAGCTTCTTGCTACTACTAGTAAGGCACTTGTTCCTAGCAGCTTATTTTTTCTACTAGCTTCTTGTTACTACTACCGTAGATGGACGAAATATTCAAACCCTTTCAACCACGTGGACCCCTTCTACCCCAAAGCTCAATGTTAGAGGTCTTGCAAGAATGTTTCGGCGAATGGACGAAACAAATCAAACCCTGGAAACACAAATTCAATCAAGTTATGTTCAACATTGACCTTTGGGGGTCAGGGGTTGGCGACAGTTATTGATACATGGTTTGAAAATTTGGTCCATCTACTGTCTAAAGGTGTGACGTTTGCGTATTTTTGGCTCGTAAGTATCAAGTCTAACATCTTCATCCGTAGTACTCTGTGTTTTAATCTTCTGTTCTCAACAACACTTTCACATCGACACGTTGCGAGCGAGGACAGCAGACGTCAGGAAAGCAAACCAGATGAAGAGCAGTTCCAGCTACTGTTCTTACTTTTGCCATGTGCCGTGTCTGTTCCCAGTGCCTTTTCCAGTGCCTTTTCCAGCGCCTTTTCACGGTTTGTGTGCGCCTGCCAGTGATTTTGCCATGTGACGCACTTTTTTGCTAAAAAGAGATAGCTTATCTTTTTGTTTCAACAAAACTTACCAGAAACACTTTTTTGCTGGCAGGGCCACGAGAAAGTGCAAAGGCACTGGAAAAGGCACTGGAAAGGCACTGGAAAGGGACTGGGAACAGACACAGCACATGGCAACAGTAAGAACAGTAGCTGGAACCGCCCGGCATCACTTGAAAACAACACACGCATGTGAGGTCTCCGATCGCCGTCCACACCCAGTACCGTAGATGGACGAAATATTCAAGCCCTTTCAACCACGTGGACCCCTTCTACCCCAAAGCTCAATGTTAGAGGTCTTGCAAGAATGTTTCGGCGAATGGACGAAACAAATCAAACCTTGGAAACACAAATTCAATCAAGTTATGTTCAACATCGACCTTTGGGGGTCAGGGGTTGGCGACAGTTAGTGATACATGGGTTTGAATATTTGGTCCATCTACTGTAGTAAGGCACTTGTTACTAGAAGCGATGCACTTGTTTCTAATAGCTTATATATTTTTCCCTTCCTGCTGTTGCTATCGCCAGGCCAGTGACAAAGATGCCTGGAATGCGGAGGAAGAAGAAGGTGCCCTGAAGAGCGAGCGTGGAGGTAGCTGGGTTGGCCCAGCCTCGTTTCTTGTCGTTTAGAGGTCATTCATCATTGCAATCCAGCTGGCCCAGCCAGGGAACCATGTTTTCAGTTGAGGATCGTGAATGGGTGTTTTCTGTCAATTTACTCCACCTCATTCTGTGGATGGGTCGCGCCGCAGTTGCACACAATGCTCGAAAGCATTCTAACACCAGGATGATCGTGTGGTACTCTTGCAGTCAAGTCATCCTGCCACTTGGTCCTTTCAGGTTGGCACGCAGCAGCTACCGTCGTGGGCGGCACCCCTGCGCCAAGGGCCGTTGCTTGGGCTTCCGGTGTTGTGCACCGGGCCACTTCGTGGACGGCCCCGGTGATTAATCTCGGTGGTATTGGGCTGAAGGAGTGCCAGGTGCCAACTGAGGTCAGGCGGCCACATTTCGGCACATAGCGCCGTGTGCGAAGGATCAAACAACCTTTGGACTCTGGACCTTCAACCACTTTGAAAGGTTGAGTGATAGTCAGATGGTCCGATTTTGGATGCCAGCAGGGTCTTGCACAGTTCATGGGTTGAAAGATTCTATTCTTGATGAAGAGGGGTTCAACAAAGCCATGGATGTTCATTCAGAGTAAGGGTTCACACGCAGTCGATGGCGCTGGAATCTTCCCATCATTTCACTCGTGACGAGTTCCAGACGCATGCTGGCACCTCAACAACGATTGAGTGGTTTTGCGCCAGCCGTTCCAGATTGCAATTCAGAAATGACGTTTTCTGAAAGAGGATGTGCAAATGGATAGTCTACGCTTTGGGGGGGGGGGCAGGGCGGGCCGGAAATGGAACATAGTTGAAGAGCGTTAGATACGAGTTACCTTAACGGATGACCTTGAAACCAGGCTTTGATTGCAATTTTGGCCTTCCACCTTTTTGGGTTCTGATTCCCATCAGTACTGATCATGAGTTTTCGTTCTTACCCAACATGCTATCTGGGGTCCATGCAAGAGCATTGAAATTTGTGCGGGAAGTTTGGTTCAAGAAGAGTTCTTCGTTCCCTGACATTCTTGAAGATCTTTGTGCATAACAATGGCGGCTCCTGTTCCTGTGAGTCGCCCACGGCAGCTGCGCATGCAAGTGGACTCCATCGACGAGAGCCAGGCGCTGCGGTGCAAGGAATTGTTTTGTCAAGAAACATTCACAATTGAACCTGTTGAATCCAATGGCGGAGGTGTATGTTTGGAATGCTTGCTTCTGCTGCTATGATGGATGTGTACCTGGTTGTCACATCGGTTGCGCTGAGCAAAAGACCATTCTTTGCACCTTGGAAGACTAAGACTATGGTAATTTGGTCGGTTCGTTCCTGTTTCCACAAGCGAAAGAAGACACAGGACCCGATTGTCCAGATGTTTTTCGGGTCTGACCAAGTGGAGTCTCCGGTCCGGTGTTTTGTTACTACTAGCGTGGCACCTGTTACTACTAGCTTCTTGTTACTAC